GGAGGGGATTATAATCATTGTAATGAAACAAGGTGTATGATTTGTTGAATGTAAAACTGATGATCTGCCCTGTAAACTTCCACTCAATCCACAATAAAAAAAGAAGAAAAAGTGTAGGAGCAGAGCCGGGGGAGTGAGGGAGGTGCTCAGGGTATGGGGACAGATGAGGAGTATTCACACTGCCACCACACTGGTGGGGCCTGGGCAGCCTGCTTGGGTCCTGGGTCACCTCTGGGGCTTCCGTGTTGCTAGCAGAAGAGACTGAACCTGAGAGTCCAGGGTCTGGTCCCTCTAGGTGTGTGGGAAGTCCAAGTGACCAAGCCCCATCTGCGAGGTGATCCTGAATGTCTTTGTGGTGGAGCTGAGGCTGATGGGAAATGCTCTGGACCAATGCTGGGACAGCCAGGGTCCTTCTTATCTGACAGCCTGCAGGTCTGCTGGGCAGAGGGGGCAGAGGGCCCTGAGGATAGACTATGTACAGGGAACTATGCAGGCGGCCCATGGGGACCAGCTCGTCGAGACCGTAAACTGCGGCCACCTTCTACTAGGCCTGGTCCCCAATTCACCAATTTCCTGAGCATACGAGGAATGTCTATATGTATACTCTTGTCCTCCAAACAGGTCACGTGGAGTTACTTCTGTTATACAAACCCAACCGGCTGGTTTTCATCACTGGTTTGTGTTCATAACTCAAGGCAAATTGCCAAAGGCATAGCGTAGATGCTATTCCAACATGTGCTTCGTGTAAAAGGGAGCAGCTCATGGCCCCCACAAACATCCTACTTTCTTTAATTTAATGCCTTTAATTGAAATTATGTTATTTCCTGGCTTACTTTCCTTTTTATTGTGGTTAGAGTGAACATTTTTAGAGCAAATGACTTCTCCATTCAACAATTCATACTCATTCGGTTTTGTGGCATTGATTGCAGCCCCCACGATGTAACAGAGTATGCCCCATTCCCCCCCCCACCATGCTTACCATTTGCATGCTAACACCAGGAAGTACACACTCCATACAGCAATCACCAGACAAAACCCAGAGGGCGGCATTTGTCCGGGGAGATAGCTCAGACAGGAGGAAGCAAGGGAGAGAAAAGACGGACAACTGGAAGTGGTTTATTCCTTTGGAATAAACCAGAATCTTTAGAAAATTCCCAGAATGTAATGACTGTGAAAACAAGTGTTCTGTGCATGTATACTCACACACACGCAAGCACATAGACACACGCATGCTCCTGCACGTGCAAGCTTGCAAGATCCCTGGAGAAGGTGACGACCAATATCTGTGACCTCTGAGGAAGGAAACTGTGTGGCTGAGGACCTTTGAACTTTTTCCTAATATACAGTATGCATACGTCCTGGGGTGATGCTGCAGGTTAATGCGCTGGACTGCAAAGTCAGCTGAAACCACAAGGTCGGTGGTTCAAGCTCACCAGCTGCTCCTTGGAAACCCTATACAGGGTCGCTATGGATCAGAACCAACTTGATGGCACGTAACAACATACGTGCATAGTCAAAAATACAACACAGGAGTTTGTTCCAAGGATGTGCTGAGAGTGTGTTTGGGGAGCTAGAAGCATTTGGACTTTGAGAGTCACCATGTCACTAATGTCACTGAATCAGACACTGAACATCATTCAAATGGCTGTTTTTGTGACATGAGGCTGCTTCAGACGGTTCATGGGAAAATTCCAGTGTGGTTCAAATTCATTTTTCCATGAGCCTTTTGAAGCTCCTTTGTGTATATTTTGCCTAAATAAAGTGTATGTGAGTGTGTATATAAATATATATTCATATAAGTGTGGTAGTTCTATAGAATAATCACTGGACTGCTAACCGCAATGTCAGTGGTTCAAGCCCACCAGCCACTCCATGGGAGAAAGATGAGGCTTTCTGCTCATGAATAGATGTGTATATAGCCTTTCTCCTTGTGTGGTGTGTGTGTGTGTGTGTGTGTGTGTACTGCAAAACATTTGTAGATAAGTGGAATTAAAAGATAATGGAACATTTCCATGAAACTCTTAAAATCCCCTCATGTATATTTTGTGTAAATAAAGTTTATGTGTTCCTGGTGTGGCACTATAGGATAAGCACTAGACTGGGAACCAAAAATGTCAGTTATTCAAACCCACCAGTCACTCCTCAGAAACCCTGTAGTCAGAATCACCTGAACGGCACTTACCAACAGCAACAAAGTTTACGTGTATGTACGTACATGTCTATAATATGTACGTAACTGGAGAGCATTTTGAAATGAGGTAAAGTACTACAGGAGAGCAGAGCTAATCTAACCAGCATAAATAAAGCAGACCAGGCTTGCTGGCTGAATAGAGACTGATGGAACCCCAAGTCTACGACCCTTGGTTCCCCTCCAGCTCTGGGGCTAATTCACCCCCAGGGCTCAGCTGGCAGCCTCACCAAGATGGGCTGTTATTGTTGTTAGGTGTTATTGAATCAGTTTCGACTGATAGCGAGCCTGTGCACAACAGAACAAAACATTGCCCGGCCCTGCGCTATGTCCACTATTGTTGTATTTCAGCCCATCCTGTCAGTGATCCTCGGTGAGGGTCTTCCTCTTTGTTGCTGACCCACTGCTAAAAATGATGTCCTTCAGGGACTGGTCTCTCTTTATGACATTGTATTGTTAATGTATTAAGGTATAAGTCCTATCTAGAAGTCAGGTTTTCATGGATACAAGCCTTACATTAAATGCATTGTTCTCTCTGGAGAGAAGTTTCTGGTGACTATGGAAAATGAACCGAAGTTTCTTTCATTTGGCAATGTGTTCACAGACGTTTGTTGTTATCTTCGCCTTGTATCAAAATGCGGGAACATTGGGTACCATGTTCTTCCCAAGTCTAGCGTGACTCTTGGCCCTGTCTTCCCAGAGTTCAACATGTTCCATATGGTCGCTGTGGGACTAAGCAGTTCCATCCTCGGCTGCCTACTCACTCTGCTCATCTATACCTACTGCCAACGCTACCAGCAGCAGGCCCATGATGCCACGGTCATCCACCCTGTCTCGCCCGCGCCTCTCAACACCAGCATCACCAACCACATCAACAAGCTGGACAAGTATGACTCCGTGGAAGCCATCAAGGTGAGCGACCAGCAGGTGGGCCTCGGGGTTGTTCTCAGAGCGTAGGGGTCATATTGGTGCAGACAGCGTGGGGACAGAGAAAAGGTCTCCTTCATGATAAGATATCTTGACGGGCTTGGCTTATAGAAAATGCCTTTGATGTGGGAGGTGTAGATTGAAAAAGGAGACAGCAACAGAGAAAATGTTAGGCTGAGTGGTTGGCCACTGCTCAGCCCAGCTTCTCATGTGCCTTCTGAATCCAAAGAAAGGTTGTCCATCCGAGAAGAACTCCAGGCCAAGGTCTGGATGATCTGTCTGTGGCATCCGCAGAGCTACCTCAACATTAACTCGGTTATAATCAGAACTGAAGGTTTTGCTCATTTAAAACCGTTACAGTGGTAGGTTTACCACAGGGCTAAGGTTCAGTGTTTAAGCTCTCAGCTTCCCTTGAGAATTCCTGACTAAATAAAGTTCAGAAATCGGCCAGAAGATATTGGAACCTGTCAATCTCACTGCTGTTAGGTGAGCCTAACACGGGACAGGCCGTCTGGAAAGTGGGAAAGTAAGAAGACACATTTCAGAAGAATGGAAATATAGTCCTGGTGGGATGCTGTAGGATAAGCAGTGGACTGCTAACTGCAAAGTTGGCAGTTCAAACCCACCAGCCACTCCTCAGAAACCCTATACAAGATTGCTCTGAGTTGGAACCAACTCAACAGCACTTACCAAAAACAGGAATGAGCTCAAGTTTAACACAGTAGTCTCTGAATTATATCGGAATACTATTTAATGAGTTTGTTTTGTTTTGTTTTTTTACAGGCATTTAACAAAAACAATTTGATCCTAGAGGAAAGAAACAAATACTTCAACCCGCACCTAACTGGAAAGACCTACTCTAACGCCTACTTTTCAGATCTCAATCATTACGATGAGTACTAACTGCTCCCCGGTCCATGGCCCCTGCTCCCAGTTCCTCAGGGTCTGGCCTCCATGATGTCCACACTCCTGTGGCTGGACTGCAGAAGGGACCGTTGGGAGACTTGGCGAGCCTTGAGTGTCCCGTCGCTGCCAAGCACGCGCATTTCTGAGCAACAGCATCAAAGTTCAGGTGACGTGGTGAAGATGTGGTCTGAACCCTCCTCTGCTGCCGAGTGAGCCGCAGTGTGAAGTGTCGGAGCGTGTGCGGCCGTCTCTCTGACACATGCATTGTCCTTTTGAGTTTTTATTGTTGTTTTTTCATAAATGTCCTGCCCACATTGGAGGAAGTCCTTAGAGATACGAAGGTTTTCTCGCTTTTCACCCTATACGAGGAGGCTTCAAAAATTTTGTGGAAAAATTTCATCTCCAATTCCGTTTTTCCATGAGCTCTTTGAAGGCCTTGTGTGCTCTTAATGTTTTCAGCCAAGAAAAGAAGGGTCTTTATCCACCCACCCAACAAGGAAGGCGCAGGAAGTCTATCGTCTCTGATCAAAATGAGAAAAGTAATGTGGTCAGAGAGCTGTTCCGTGTGGATCCCATTGTCCCATCTGCTAAGACTGGAATTCTGGAAGCAACTTGTATGTTTGCACTTGGGGTGGTTCTTGCCAAGGAAAGGAAGGGATTCAGCCTGGTGGACATCTCAGAGGTGGTGGTGGTGTGTGAGACCCTCAGCCCTTGCTCTTGATACATCACTGTGTTGTCCCCGGGGGGAGCTTATCACTGAGCACACCCGTAGTCCAAGGAAGAATGTGTCCTGCCAGTCAGCCAGCCATCTTCCAACTTCTGGATGTCACTCATTCCTAAGCTGTTGGCCCATATGTCACCTGTCGGGTCCCTGGTAATGTCCCGAAAATACCCAGTGTTTATTTCCTTCCCATGTGGAATTTCAATAGACTCCACACCACCTCTCTTCCCCAAAGAAAAATCTTGAGCTTGTAAGATGCCAGGGAAGAGTGATTTTGAAAATACTGAACAGCATCAGCGGCAACATTTTATTCTGTGTTGTGGCAAAGAACTAAAATGTTAGGAGAGGCACCTTTTTACCTTCCACCTCCGTGATGGCAGGATGTGCGGAGGGTGGCTAGTGGGGACGCCAGCCCCCCGGGGACCCTCGCTGTGCCCGCCCGGTGGAGTGCTGCACCAAGCTGTCCTTCCTGCCTTCCAGTTGTGGAGGGGCCCCGGTGCCTTCTTTTGGGGTTCAGGGCAGTCTTGGGCCCCACACACCTCACTCTCCCCTCTCTGGGTGGGCACTCCCCTTTGAGGAGTAGAGTAGCCAAAAGTGCGGTTTTCAGAAATCCCTGTGGCTCTGAGAATAGATCCTAGATAAAACAGCCATCTCAGAGCGTTTCTGTATCATTTATGGAGATTCACACAAGAAAATTAAAAAAGATAAATCACCAACAACTGGTAACAAACATGCCAGTCAGTTGAATAATTACTGAAAGAGTAAGATTGAAATTGTTCACCTTACACTCCTGATAGTC